CCCTTAGGGGCAGGGGCGGGGGGCGCCTGCCACGGCCTGCTATGCCTCAAGCCCCACTGCAGCTGGCCATGTGTGGGAGTGGCTCAGCCCAGGCAGGACGCACATGGTGTCCAGCTGCTTCTGGGTCAGCTGCAGCGGGGCTCGGGGTGCAAAGCCCAGCCTGCGAGGGCAGCCGCCTCTGCCATGGACAGATGGGGGGGACACATGCCCAACACAGGGCAGCGCAGGAGGCTGCAGCAGCAGTGAGGGAGGGAATGGGGCCAGGGCAGGGGCAGGCCCTGCACAGATGGGGCAGGGTGCAGGATGGAGCTGCGAGTGGATTGTCCAGAGGGTGCAGGACGGGGGGAAAGCATGCACCCTGGGAGGGCATGGGGCGGCATGTGCCCCTGGATCTGCATGCAGGGGAAGGCGGGCTTGGAGGCTGTGCCAGTCTCTTCCCATCTTGGAGTGGGGGGGGCCTGCACTGTGCTCAGGGAAGGTGGTGGGGGCACTGGGAGGCAGGGTTGGGGGGAGCGACAGTGAATTTTTATGTGGCTGCAGTGCCCCCACTTCTGCCCCGCTTCCAGCATTGTCGCCACCCAGCCTGAGCGCAACACAGCCCAACACCCCTGCCAGGAAGAGCCCAGCCCCAGCCAGCAGCAACCCACCCCACCCCACCCCACGTGCAGATCCAGGGGCACATGTCCCCCATGCCCTTCCAGTGGTGCATGCTCCCCCTCCCCGCAGTCCCCAGATGAGCCACTCATGGCTCTGTCCCATATCCTGCCCCATCAGGGCCTGCCCCTACCCCACTCCCTCCCTCAGGGCCGCTGGGGGGGCCTGGGGGCAGATCAAGGCCCCTGCAATGAGGGAGGGAGTGGGGCTAGGGCTGGGGTCTTGACCTGCCCCAGCCCACCCATGGCCCTTCCCTCTCCCCCCACCCCTGTCCCCACAGACTTACCTGCTGGGGAGGGAACGTGCCCCAAGCTAATGTTTTCTCCCTCCTCCTCTATCTGCTCCCCCCACTCAAATATACCTGCTGGGGGGAAGGGGGCACAGTAGATCTTGGTTTGCTTTTAAATTTCAAACGTGATCTCCTACTTATAAGGCAGTGGTCTCCAACCTTTTTATCAATATTTTCTACACAGAAAGCAATCTCATAAGTCTCTTGCACCAAGAATAAAAGATGGTAAGAAGCTGACCAGTGGCTGCTAGTGCTTCAAAACTAAAATTACCCAGGCTTGAGCAATTTCAAAAGCAAGGGCCTACATGACTGGATTCTAAGTAGCTCCCCCTTAAAAACATTATAAATGCTCTATTTTCTGTGTGGCTAAACAGCCGTAGACTCAGTTACTAGACAGAGAATTAACTGCAGGAAAAAATGTGCTCATCTCACCACCTTTAGTGCAAGTGCCAAGTCATGTTTATTTCAAGGGAAAACTTATCATTTATGCTTTTAATGAATATTTCTAAAGCATGCAAAGACTGCTTCTTAAAATTTACAAATCCTCAAAACTGGAGTGGAATAGTTTCACTCTCAGGTTTTGCTCCCTATAATTTTAATCTGCTATTAGAGAGACTGTTACCACATTTTGTTAGCGCTCTGTTAGATGACTATAAATAACGACACAAGAATACTCTCATATCTGAAGTGGAAGCCATTTGCCGGTTGCTGGTTTTTTATATTTCTGCCACTGACAAAGAAAGCTTTGTTAAAAGCAGAACAGCCAATGCAACAAACTTAGACAGAAAGCTGAAATTGCCCATCATAGCCCATCACCTGATACTGAAAGCCAATATAATCAGTACTGTGTGATAACTTCATTCCAGATATCAGTGTCAAACAAAAAAAGCCAGTACTCATGGCTCCCTACTATACACTAGTCTACATACCAGTATGGAATAGTTTAAATTCCTTCAGTTCTTTCTTTCTTTCTTTCATTCACAAAATAAAAAAACACCTCAATTTGTTTGTCATATGAAAGAACAATACTTGATCAAAAATTGGTTAGATGTGTTCATTTTTAGCTGATTAAAATATATAGCCCTTCAAGTTTAAGTTTCATACTGTAAGCAATTTAAACATAGAATCAGAATAGATACTGTGATGTTTCAATATTTTGCAGGCTACATTAAATTTAAACATGTTGATAAGGAACCTTCTGAAGTGGCACCAGTTATATAAACAGTTTAGAATGGCTGCTTACCACATTCTGCAGTGATTGAAGCGAGACCTCCATAAACAAATGGCTTCCAGTTCAGCGCCGACATTCTTTCAATTCTTTCTGCAATAAAGGATAATGGCTTTTAACAAATCTTTTACAGATAACACTATAATTAACTCTTCATAAGAGTATGGTTTTAACCTCTATTCTTCATCTTACTCCTGTAGTAAATAATAATACAACAGAACAAGAGATGTAGAAGATATCAACAATAGTATATTTAACCGACATAGTAATGTGTTAAACATTAGGAAGTGTGGCATGCTTCCAGCTGAACACTTCCCACCTAGCTCACATGCACTAAATCATTAAAAATGTACTTTCTGAAGACCATAAAGATAAATGTGATGTCTACCCAGTAACCAGAAACTCAAGTATAAATATTATCATAGGGTTTCAATAAGGATATTCACCCAGTGTCAGTGACTAGTACCTTGATGGTGAAAAGCTAAAGTAATTATCTGTCAGGGATAATTTCAGAAAGCAAAGAATGCAATATTGCCACAATACAGTTAGATGGCACTATTAAAGTCAGAGGAATGACATAAAAATCTAAACTTGTATAACTGTAGCTGAGCAAAAGTCTATGTTTTGGAATGCAGTTAAATTTTTAAATCATAATCGTTGCACCCTTTTTGGGGGGGTAACAAAACACCCCTTGTTTCTACTACATTTATACTCACCAAGTATGAAGACACAGCGGCCTTCAGTTTCTCTAAAGATATTTTGTTTTACTGCTAATAGTAAATTAAATTTGTGTGCATCATCGGTTTATAATACACCCAAGTATGCAAGGCACTTCAAAGAAAATTAGATTTAAAAAAAGCCTTCATTTTAAAGAACTTGCTTTCTTTCTTTTTTTTTTTGTCAAGCAGCTCATGCCAATTGCAAGAAAGAGATTAAACACAGAGGACATGAAAATCTGAAGTCACCAAAGGATAACCTTTAGAAAAAAAAAAGTGTAATATGGCAAGGCAATTCCTGTAACAGTTCATACCATCAATGGCAATGTCTACTAAAAGGGCTGATATCAGAGTAGGCAAAGAAAACCCTGTAATGGAACCAGTTATGGAACTGCCCATCTATAATGGAATTCTTTTTCTAGCCCCAAGCAATTAGAAGCTGTTTTATGACCAAAGACTCATATATATTTTTACGTTTCTCTTTTGTAACCATAAATGTGAATATTCACATTCTCTACGCAGCTCTCAATCTTTGTCCTTTATCCTGCTAAATCCTTGGATCCGGCAATAATTTTGTGCCAAAATGTTCTGCAGAATAATTACATTTCACATCCAAGATACTTCCTTTGGCCAATGTTGCATTTAGTTAATGATGCTGAAACAACCTCTTTGATCTTGTACTACAAAAAAGTTAGTAAGGCATTTTGCACTTCTCTAGCTGAAGAGGGAGCCAGAATACAAGAGTGCCAATATCTATGCAAAATACTCTATCCAACAAGCAAATCGACAAATAAATTTATCTTCTCAGTGCTTCTGTAGTTTTTAGAGAGAAAAATCAAGCTGAGCTGACGGTACAAGACGCTAGTTTTCAAAAGGACTAATCCAGTTGTTCTCAATGTTTTTAGACTCATAACTTCCGCAGAACCCTCCCCTAGGAGATATAAACCATTCCTGTCAGAGCTGTTTCCCATCCAGTCTTGCAAGTGCCTCCTGGAGAGAAAAAAAAAGGCACGTGGGGCAGTTTCACCTGGCTTCAGTAGCATTGCCAGTGTCATGGGACCCTAGAAAGGGTCTTGTGGCAGCCCAGTAGATAGCCACTGATCTAATCACCCACTTCTTGCTGCCCAATGACATTTAACTGTATACTAGAATCACAGATTTCTAATTATTTCAAGAAACATCTTATCTATAAAAGTAACCTTACGTTTTTAACATTGGCAAATTTTTAAAAGTCAAATTAGGTTGCTTATATTTTGTTCATTCAACCTAAACAATTAAAACCAACTCCATTTTGCTTTCCAATTGTTATGCAATGGCATGTGGCCACAATGCGTTGCCAGCGCTGCAGGAAAACAACAGAATTTTGGCTGTATCAAATTGTTGGTATTAGTTATACAAGATCCTTTTAGTGGACGTAAGAAGTGCGTGTGTACACACACACACACACACACACACACACATATATTATACTGTCAGGGCAAGGGCACTCTGACACTTCCCAATACGTTCCCATGACTAAAATAATACTAGCTAATACTTTTCATATTAGCTCCTTCCCAAGATGTAGCTTATAATTTTTCTGCATGCATACACAATACTGTTCTCCCTGGCTGCTGCTCATACCAATTTATTCATGTTTTCCAAATCCCTCAAATTATTTCTTCATCTTCCACCTCAAATCCAAGTTTTCTGTGTTCACTTTAAAGCCCTGCACCTCTGCTCATTTCTTCCTACTCTGTCTTGCTCCCCACTTGAAGCCTATACCCCCATTCCTTTGTAGTCTCCCCCACTCAATTTTTTCTATCCTGCCTCTTCCTGTTAGAATTCTCCCTTCCCATGACAACATACAAAGCCCCCACCTTCCTTTAATTCAGAAAGCTAGTTGTGTCAACCCATTTAGTGGTTATATAATAGCAGTACTCGAACATTATTACAGTGAGTTCTAAAATAAGTCTACAATAAAGTATAATTGTACATCAAGTATAACTAGTAGTAATGAAACCCCTGAAGCAAAGGGCTTAGTAAAATTCACAAGAGATTAGGCACAAGATTAAGATATAACAATTTAATTTACACTAGCCAGAAAAAGTCTCCAGCATTATCTAACCTCATGATTTAGGTCATAAATTGATCACCTGTTACACAAGTATCAAACACACAGTCCAAGGGCCAGATGTGCCCTGTAGTCAGCATCATGGCATATCCACAGTCAAGTGAGAGAACAACATGCAAAAAACCACAAACTTGTCTTGTGAGAGTTTCACTAGATTACAGTTAATTAGTACAAACCACAGGTGGCCACTCATTTTCAGTTACTCTACCAATTGTTAATCTGTCTAAACTAAACTGAAATATATGACTCTTAAAAGTGTTTTCACAGCAGTCTGATCCAGTTTAAAATTCATATCCTAGTAACTGGTACAATTTTCTTGTGCGACCAAGAGCACTCACAGAAAAGATGGAAACATGAAAAGAGGATGTGAAAAGACTGAGAAACCAAGCACAAATCAACATGGAACTAACTATATAATAATATATTAAAAGTTGAGAGTGTATAATGAACTCAAAATAGACTACTCTAACTTTTATCTGAGCCCGATTTGCACAAAATGAACTATTCCAACCAGGAGCTCTTACACCACTTTCAGCTGTCTTGTGAAATATGAATTTTCATTCCCACCTAGGAGCAATTTTACAATCTTTGCATTCTCCTATGCCTGGGGAAAGATGAGTGTGGTCAAAAGCTTGCAAATAAAGACTTTTATTTTTGCAAATATCTAGTTGGTCTAATAAAAGATATCACCCCTGCCATGAGTTCAGAGTCCTTTTGCCTATAGACCAATATATAAACCACACCCCTGAAATAATTAAGTCAATGCATAGGCCATATCCTACCTCTGTTTTCTGTGCAATGCACTTACTGATGGTCTGTTTTCAGTGAATGGGAGTTTGACCCCACCTATATGCCATAATTAAAAAATGGAATTTGCCCCTCCTCGCAGAACATCCCTGGTGTCCATAACAAATTTGGACAAATAATTCCTACATATCTCAATATTTCTTTACAGAAACCATAGGGGTTTACTACACAGGATGCACATGATGATAGGCCAAGTCTGAATGCAAGATACTCACTAGCTAAGCGTAACATTTCCTGTCTGCACTGTTTGCAGGAGACAACTGTCAATTAAAAAAAAAAATCAGCCAATTTGAGGTCACCAAGAAAACTCCCAGAAAACCAGGCTTTTTCTACAGCTTCTGATTTCATTCTCTTTTGTTCTGCGCGGGTTTCTTTTTGGTTGTTTTTTTCTTCTTTTTGGGGTGGGGGGGCTGTTTGGGGGGGGTTGGGTTTTTTGGGGGGGTTGTGTTTTTTTTTTTTTAATGCTAACCCATAGCTATCAAAGTTTGCTATTTTCAGGCTTCTTAAAAAAGTTCACCTGCAGACTGACACCAACGTAAGGCAGATTCGGTCCGACAGCAGGAAGATTTTAAACGGGGGAGGTGGGAAGGAGAATAATGTTACTTCTTTCTGGAAAATCACCCTAGCCCTAACCCAGGGGACAAGGGTGGCTTTTAAATGAGGACAAGAAGAAAACACCAGCATTAGGGTTTATTAAATACCGGAGGCTGCGAGTGGGAGAGCAACAGGGGCAAACCCCCTTCGCTCTCCCTTTCAGGCCCCTCCAATGAAAGCTGCATAGAAACCGGCTGCCCTCAGCTTCAAGCACGAGCTCTGCAGCCGTGTGGCTCTTGCGATGTCTGGAGAGTCGCTGTCAATGGGGCGGCCCAGCCCGGCGGCGCGGCCTTCCCACACGCGCTGCGCCATTGCCCGGCGACGCGCGTCACAAACGTAACGCGTGACCAGATCCCAACGAGACGCGCGCCCGCCCGGCACCGCTCCTGCCCGGCGCCGGGCCCCGAGCGGGAGGGAGCTGCAGGGCAGGTCACGTGGGTGCCTCGCCCGCCACATACCGGAGCTCCCCGCTGCGTCCCACGCTGCCCCGCGCAGCACACCGACCCTCACCTCGCCCCGCCGCCAGCCCGCGTGGTTCTGAGCCTGCAGCTGGCCGGGCCCGCCCCCCCCCGCCCCCCCCCCCCCCCCGCCACTGGGCTGCACTCCAAGTGGCTCTGCAGCCTCATGGAGCTCAACCTGGGGAGGGGCGGGGCCAGCGCTGCGGCGCCCGGGCTCCATCAGGGGTCGCCCCCTCGTTTATCTGTGGGCACGTGAGGTCACCCCGCCGAGAGCCAGGGCGTCAACCCCCAGCAGCGCCCTAGAGGCACTTCAGCCCCGCCCTCACTGCCCGCGGGTGTGGCGCCTCGCACCCCGCGCAGGGGTCTGGCCTGCACGCGTGTCCCCTTTATGCCACCAGCAAGGGGGAGTGGGGAATCCTTTCCCTGCATCCAGAGCTGGAAATTGTCTTGCATTGGAAAGCTTGTCTCACTGTATCCCAAGTACATAGTTGGTCCAATAAAAGACACCCCCCACCCCCCCTCAGAAATCCTTGCCTCTAGCATAATTTCTCCATGTTCACAGCCACAAGGTCACCCTTAAGCTACCCCCTCCTCCAGGCTTCCCTGTATTGCTGCTGGGACTAAGGTCACCCCCTGGCTAGGGCCAAAAATTACACACAAACCGGTTGCCGTAAGTGATAGGAAGCTGGTCCAAATCTGTAATGCGGCACAAGTTCAGCGCACACAACCCACTTTCAAAATGGCTGAAACCAGTTTAAAGTAAACCTGGATGGATGGATGTAGTATACCATAGGTTCCCAAACTCGGACAGCTTGCGCACCATCAATTTAAAATGACATGATCTTAAGTACCACCAGCAAATTTTTCAGTTCAACCTTAAGTAGCACCAGCACGTTTTTGTCATATCAAGTCATTATAATAAATCTGTTCACACTGACAGGTTGTCTGTGTACCACTGGTGGCACCCGTACCACACAGGGGGAACCGCTGATGGAGTATCAGCCTTAACTGATTTGGTTACATCGCTTTACTGAACTTCTGTCCCAGTTCCTCAAGTCCCCTTATTATAGCACCAGCAATGGGGCTGAAAGGGGAAATGCAGAGATAGGGAGACTGGGAGCCTGTATGTGGTAAGGCAGGCAGGGGGCTTGGGTCAAAAAATACAAGCATATGATCATGTAAAAGATTGCATCTTGATGTGTTTACACATGAGGCCAAATTAAAGTTACACAGACACCTTTCATTCCAGAACCTCCTCATTTTGAATGCTTGACTGCAACCTTTAATGATTAAACACAAAATGCGGTCAATGGGGGCAGGGGGTCAGCAACGTGCTTGGCTCTGGGCAAAGAAGACATTTACAACTTAAAACTTTGTCATCAGGAGTCACCAGAGCAGAGGTCAAATGCCAAACGTTCCTGTAACACCTGGAACAAAAATTAACCGCCAGGTCACATGTCTGTTTCTTCCAAGACGTTACTGCTGTGGTATTTTCCACTGGGGCCTCAAAAATTATTTCTCAATGTTGCTTCATGTGACGGGAGCTGATCTGCCAGGTATTTAAAGGCTATTTAGTTAAGGAACATACACAGCTGGAGGAACCCTCTAAGTTTCTTCCCTCAACTTGACTCCTTCCACTGCTCACAGTCCGTGGATCCCTCCCCCACCTTGATGTCCCTCCACAGCTCTGGAGTACTCCCAAAGACAGAGCAGGAAGTCCTGCAGCTGGTGCTGCTGCTCAAGAAGCCAACATAGAAGACTGAACACTTGATAAGTAAGGAAACTGTTCTGCCAGCCTCCTTTGATGTTAGCTTCTCAAATCCCATGTCTCCAGTATCACATATCTGGGGCTTCTTCACCCACTAGTACGCTCCTGCTGTTACGCCGGGCAGACGGGTGAAGGAGTGCAGTGTCTACCTTGATTTTGTTTTGACTCTACTGATCACTGCTTTCACCCTTTGGTGTTCTGCTCCAGACTGGGTCATTCGTCTTTCTCCTGTAAGGATAAGGCAACCAAATTTCAGGGAACAAAATCTAGGACAGAAGTACTGGTAATTCTGGATTTCCAGGTCTATTTGGTGCATGGGTGACTGGTACCTCCTGAGACTGGGGCGGCACATTTTGTGGACAGCAGTGTCAGTGGATTTGGCATGGCAAATGGTGACCACCCACAGAAGCCGGGGTGGCAGCGGGGCAGGTGGCTAGTGGTGACTGCCTGCAGAAGCCAGCAGCAATGGGGGGCAAGGGAGTGGCGAGTGGCAACCGCTCGGAGAAGCCAGTGGTGGTCAATCTCAGGGGGGGCATCTGACCCGCCGTGTGCCCTCTATCAGTCACCTATGATTTGGTGTAACCTGCACACAGTACTGCAGTGAGCTGGCAAATTAGCTCTGCTGAGTGACACAGTTAATTTACTTGATCACAGTGGTGAGTGAATATAGCTATACTGCTTCCAGCTCATAGTAATGGTAGGATGCAGCAAGCTGCATCAGGGGTTTAGCAAAGAGGAAAGAGGACCATTTTTTTTCCAAAATTCATAGATTCATAGGTTGCAAGGCCAGAAGGGACCTCAGAAAATCATCGGGACAAAATTGGGACAAAAGTTCCATTTTAGAGACTTCTTGGGTACACTGCCCCAAAATTCAGGACTGTGCCAGAAAATACAAGTCGGCTGCTTTCTTCATCTCAAGGTAACAAAGAATCTGGAAAGTCCCAAGGCCTGTACCTAATCACGGGGCAACATTTTAGTTCCATGGGGCCCAAGCTTCTGACTCTGAAGGCTCTAATAACCCATTCACTGGGGTAAGTAGAAAAACCCAAGCTCATGCACTGCTCTGCATTTGAGCTCATGGACTTTACAGGCACATTTACATGAGACACGTAGTGTGGAGTTACCTAATTAGCCCTGCAGTAAATGTCTTGGTGTCTACATGTGCATCTCTATTAGGCCACAGGAAACTAATCAGCTCCACAGTAGGTTAGTACTTGTAAATAAAAGCACTATCCTGCTGCAGAGTTTTTTTGTGCTTAGCAGCACATGTGTAGACACTGATGGGACTGGCTGGGGCATGAGAGTGCTTCAGTGTGGGGGCTGCCTGCCATCCGCGGCTGCTCCAACCCAGCTCAACATGCTGCAGCCCCAGACACATGTGTAAATGTAGCACCAGGAGCAATAAACTACAGCATGATATGCACTGGAATTTATTGCTTGCTATTAGTATGCACATGTAGATGTGTCCTTGTGAAGCAGTTGGAATAAGCCCCATTCAATCACTCATGCTATCACAGACTGCACCCTACCTCATTTCTTTTGTGTGAAGTTTTCCCCCAAAAAGATCCTGTGCTCCTCTTCCCTAGTGTTTTCAACAGTGCCCACAAAGCATGTTGCAGAGAAAGGCTCCTCTCAGCCTTAATGTCCCAGCTTTCTAACCTGAAGCCTTTTTATCTCCCAGCTGTTACAAGGCCTATAATTAGCCACTATCCTCCCTTGCTGATGTAGTTAAACTGTCTGTGAGTATGTCTACGCAAGATATGTACCAGTGCAGTTGCCTAATAAACTGTAAACATCTCAGTGTCTACACATGCACCCCTGTTAGGGCACAGGAAACTAATAAACTCTGCAGCAGGGTAGTACTTGTAATATCCTACTCTGGAGTTTTTTCATGCGCAGCAGTGGTCATGCAGATGCTGACAGGGCTGGCTGGGGCATGAGGGTGCTTCAGCGCAAGGACTGCCTGCCGGCTAGCCCCATGCTGAAGCAACCTCATGTCCAGGGATCCTGGTTTTCTCTGATTTAAATAAAATCCCCAATTTTCGGTTAAAAAAAGTAACCACAAATCCACATTTTTCCCTAATTAAAATGAAACACCACTAATATATAGATATATACAGTATAGGTGTATATATATAGCGGCGTTTCATTTAAATCAGGGAAAAATGTAGATGGTGGGGGAGAGAGAGGGTTAACCGAAAATTGGGGATTTTTTTTAAATCAGAGAAAATTAGTATCCCTGCTCATGTCCCAGCCAGCTCCTCCACAGAACATCGAGCACAACCAGATTAGCCCCAGGCTGGCAGGTTAACCACCGGGGCTCCCTGCCAGCCAAGGCTGCCACGACCCGGCTCATGTGCTGCAATCAGAGCACCCAGGAGCTTCCCAGGAGCAATAAACTGCAGAGCAATAAGGTGCACGGTTTATTGCTGCACATTAGTGGCACATGTAGATATGCCCTGTTAAATCTTTAGTGGCTGGGATACAGATTTCTAAATAAATCAGACTTCCTTGAGAAGTATTCTGGGTTAAAACAGAAAAGATGAAGCCCCCTTCCCGTCATCCCCCGCCCTGCAAAAAAAGTCCCGCACTAACTAGAAACCTCCATTTAAAGCAGTGATTCTCAACCAGGGTGACATGGTACTCTAGGGTGCCTTGAGACCCTTTTAAGGGTGTTGTGAGGTGCCACACAATGTTAGCACTGTTAGGTTTAGAAACATAATTCATAAGATAAATCCAGAGATTTCAAATAGAAATCCATAGTTGTAGTTTTCCTGAGTTTTTTGCAACAGAAGAACTGCTCTATTATTTTTCTGTAGGCAAAAAAAATTAAAACCAAGAACTGGCATTTTCTAAAGGGTACTTTGAGTCAAACCAGGGATGCCTCAGGTCTGAAAAAGTTAAGAACCACTGATCTAGAGAGTAATTTAAAGGCAATTACAGTGCATAGAGAAGAACTCTTTCAACTCTTTCAACTACAGCAGTAGGAAAGTCAACTTTTACATCATCTAAATGAAAGCAGCACACTTCTACTAATATCAAGCACTAAATAAAATCCTCATAAAAAGCCCCATACTCCACTCATACGTAATGGTTTTCAAGTGTTTATATTAACCTGCAGGAAGAAGGAGCAAATGACTTCACCAAAAATTTAACTTTAACACTGGTCACATACAATACCACCATTCTGAGAACAACAGATTGAAGTAACAGTCTACAGTCCCCAAAAGGGAACGTTCTCAGTTGTGACAATCTTGTTATTGTGAAATGTGCAAAGCTTACACAGAACATTGCCAATATTGAAACAGTGATCACAAACCTGTTTCCCAAG